TAAATGAAGACATGCCAAACCTCGCCAAGACCTTCTGAATATAGCTTCTCTGTGACAAGAAAAGTTTCCTTCTCTCTCTGTCTCTAATGATCTCCATCCCTAAAATCTTCCGAGCGGCTCCCAGATCCTTCATCTCAAACTCAGCACTAAGTAAACCCTTCAGCTTCTGAATGTCATACTTCTTCTTTGCAGCTATCAACATATCATCTACATAAAGCACCAGATAGATGAATGAATCATCATTGAGCCTATTGTAGTAGACACAACAATCATATGAGCTCCGAGTATAACCCAACTTCACCATATAGCTGTCAAACCTTTTATACCACTGCCTTGGAGACTGCTTAAGTCCATATAAGGACTTCTTCAACTTGCAGACGTGATTTTCCTTCCCTGGAACTTGGAAACCATCCGGCTGAGTCATGTATATCTCTTCCTCCAACTCTCCATGTAGAAACGCTGTCTTCACATCAAGTTGTTCAAGCTCCAGATTCTGATGTGCAACTATCGCTAGTAACACTCGGATGGAAGTATGTCTGACCACTGGTGAGAAGATCTCATTGTAGTCCACTCCCTCTCTTTGGTTGAAACCTCTAGCAACAACCCTGGCTTTATACTTGACTCCTTCTGCTGGTGATATCCCTTCCTTCTTCTTGAAAACCCATTTGCAAGTAATAATCTTTCTCCCCGAAGGCTGTATGACCAGATCCCATGTCTGATTCTTGTGTAGGGACTCCATCTCATCTCCCATAGCGGCAAACCATTTTTCAGAATCAGAACTTAAAATGGCTTCTTTGTAAGTAGACGGCTCAGATGTATCTACCTCTTCAGCAACCTGCAGTGCATAACCCACCATGTCCTCAAAACCATACCTCGTAGGTGGCCGAACTCCAACCCTCCTTGGCCGATCTTGAGCTATACTCTGATGGATATCTGATGGCATAGATTCTGGAATATCAGTTTCAGTCTGTGGCTCTTGATCCTCCTCTTCAGGTTCCTTTAAATCGCTCTCGTTCTGAATGACTTGAAACTCCACCTGTTTGTCAAGACTCCTAGTTTCTGACGTAGTTGTAGGCTTCACAATGGTTCTAAGCAGAGGACTTTCATCAAAGACAACGTTCCTGCTCATAATAACCCTCTTTTCTGCTGGAGACCAGATTCTGAAACCTTTCACTCCATCTCCGTAGCCCACAAATACTCCCTTTTTAGCTCTTGGTTCTAACTTACCTTCACTGACGTGATAGTAAGCCGTACAACCAAAAGCTTTCAGATTTGAATAATCAGCAGCTTTTCCAGACCACATCTCCATAGGTGTCTTGCACTGTCTGCCTGTATGTGGTCCGCGGTTAATCAAGTAGCAAGCTGTACTAACCGCTTCTGCCCAGAATCTTCTATCTAGCCCAGCATTAGAGAGCATGCACCTTGCTCTCTCCAGAAGTGTTTGATTCATCCGCTCAGCTACACCGTTCTGCTGTGGTGTATTTCTGACAGTGCGATGTCGAGCAATCCCTTCATCCTTACAGAATTGATCAAATTCAGACCAACAGAATTCCAGCCCATTATCAGTTCGCAACCTCTTGATCTTCTTCCCTGTTTGATTTTCCATCAAAATTTTCCACTCCTTGAACTTCTGGAAGGCTTCACTTTTATGCTTCATCATGTACACCCAAGTCATCCTTGAGTAGTCATCAATAATGGACACAAAAAATCTGCAGCCTCCCAAAGACTCAACACGGCATGGACCCCAGCAATCAGAATGGATATAATCAAGTGTGCCTTTTGTTCTATGAATGGCCTTTCGAAACTTGTTGCGATGTAGTTTTCCAGAAACACAATGTTCACAAAACTCTAGGCTCTTAACCTTATGACCAGCAAGTAAATCCTCCTTTGACAGAATTTGCATCCCTCTTTCACCCATATGACCAAGTCTCATGTGCCATAACTTAGTCATATCTTTCTGGTGAAATTCTGACGATGCAACATGGGCTGAACCTGTAACCGTGGAACCTTGTAGAAAATACAAAGTACCACGCATGACACCTTTCAGAATCAAATTTGAACCCTTCCAGACCCGCAAGACTCCATCTTTTCCCGACCAGCTGAATCCCTTGCTGTCCAAAAGACTGAGAGATATCAGATTTTTCGTCATCAATGGAACGTGCCTGACCTCGTTCAATGTGCAGAAGCTACCGTCATGTGTCCTTATCTTGATCGAGCCTGTCCCAACCACCTTGCAGACAGAACTGTTGGCCATCGAGATGCTGCCTCCGTCTACCTGCTCATAAGTCGTGAACCACTCTCTCCTAGGACAGATGTGATAGGATGCCCCAGAATCAAGAACCCACACATCTGAATGATGAGTGTGCTCATCCGCAACTAGGGCAATATCTTCTTCAGAATTGGTGTCTTCTTCAGCAACAGCAGCAGACACTGATTGTTTTTCCGATTGCTTCTTCTTCTTCGGACAATCAAATTTCCAATGTCCCTTCTCCTTGCAGTAATTACAAACATCATCCGGCTTTGCACCCTTCGACATCGGCTTATTTTTCTTTCCGCCGTTTTTCCTTCCCTTTCCGCTACTGGTGAACAGACCGGAAGGCTGTATGTCCGTACTTGTGCCGTTAGCCTTATGCCGTAATTCCCTGCTATGAAGGGCTGATCTGACTTCTTCCAGTGACACAGTATCTTTCCCAACAATGAACGATTGAACAAATATCTCAAACGACATTGGGAGAGATACTAACAGAATCAGGGCAGCATCTTCATCCTCGATCTTCACATCGATATTACGCAATTCTAATAACAAAGTATTCAATTGCTCTAAGTGTTCCCTGAGTTGTGTACCTTCAGCCATTCGTAAACCGAATAGACGTTGTTTCAGAAGCAGCTTGTTGGTTAGAGATTTTGTCATGTACAAACTCTCCAGCTTCAACCACAGACCAGTAGCAGTCTCTTCATCCGAGACCTCCGTGATGACGTCATCCGCGAGACACAGCATGATCGTCGAGTGCGCCTTTTCCTCCAGAATCGCCATCTCAGGAGTAACGATGGCGTTCTTGTCTTTCGACAACGGCGCCCAGAAGCCTTGCTGTTTCAACAAGGCCCGCATCTTGATCTGCCATAAACTGAAACTGTTCCTCCCTGTGAATTTGTCGATTTTCACGTTCAAAGCAGACATCTTGAATTCTCCAAGAACACCGATTAACCGAGAGACTCTGATACCAATTTGTTGTGCGGAATTTGAGATAATACGAGAAAATATAAACGCGAAAAACAAGACAACAGATTTACGTGGTTCACCAATTTGTTGGCTACGTCCACGGGAAGAGAGGGAGCAGTTTTATTATGGAGAGGCAAAAACAGAATTACAGAATAGGGTTTCCCATAACGTCTATATATAGTGCTAAGCTACGCCCTAACAGGCTTGGGCCCAACATACAGAATCAACAGAAAATTAAGGGCCCAATACAACAACATTGTATACCGTCCTCTTTCTGTTTGTAGCGGGTCCGATTCAAGGCATTCAACAGATCCGGACAGGAACAGATCAAAGAGGGCTCCTCCATCAGTACCTACACAGTATGATGCTGAAATTGAGAAGATCCTTGATCACCGGGTTTTGGGCACGAGTAAGAAGAATACTAAGACTGAGTTCTTGGTCCATTGGAAAGGCAAGAGTGCAGCAGATGCTGTTTGGGAGAAAGCAAAAGACCTATGGCAGTTTGATGCTCAAATCGATGACTATCTCAAAACAGTCTCGATGAGGACATCGAGTTCAAGTGGTGCGGGTGGTCTGTTAGACCCGCAATCTACTTGATCTAACTACGTGCAGACATGCCAAGGATTTTGGCATTGGTCTTGGCATGGATGATGGCAAAACAGTGCAACACAAGTTCAAGGTGCTTGGGTGTTGGCAAGGCAGCTTGAACGTGCATGGTTTACGTGCGGGCTAAGGGCGTTGGCAAGACAGCATGTTGACTTGATGAAGCAAGGCTGTGAAGACTTGGCAAGATCAAAGACAAAGGCAGTTCACCCGAAATTGCTGAGATAAAACTAAGTGTGGAAGACAGCTAAAATATTCTAAGTGTTGGAAGCTGGCAGGATTATTCTAAGTGTTGGAATGAAGCCTGAAATATTCTAAGTGTTAGAATATTAGTATTTCGTGTAGATAAGAATGTAATTTGAATTAGATTCTATCTGTTGGAAATATAGCTGTTGGAAAGTTAGTTTTGAACCCTGGGCTGACATGTGTCAGACAGGTGTCATGTGTAACCGCCGCATGTAACCGCTTGTAACTGCCATTGTGCAGAATTTTGATTTAAGGTGGAAATTCGTCTAAGGCAAAGGACAGAGAGTTTTTTAGCCTTAGTCTGATTTGTGAAGCCTTCCTTTGTATTAATTATCGATTAATAAAGGTAGGGACTTAGTCCTGTAAACGCTGCCTGTTTATTGTTTGACATTGCTGTTTAAGTATTTCTATACTTAGTCAATTCTGTGGGTGTAAGTAGGCTGAAGTATTACAGACGCTGTAAGACTGCCTAGAGTGGTGTGCGAGAAAAATAAATCGACCCTCTTTCAGGTACCATACCATCTTGGGTGTTTAGCCTATATTCAGTGTCCCTCCAACACAACCGATTAAGAGGACTAGCCGATGAAGTGATCAAAATGAACCCAACACTAAGAGAACTGCATTTAAGCAATAATCAACTTAGTGGTATTTTTCCTCAATCACTTGCGAATCTCACAAATCTTAATATCCTTGACCTTTCATCAAATAACATCACCGGTGATGCGGTACCAAATATCACCTTTCCTAGTCTACGAATTTTGGGGTTATCATCTTGTGAATTGAAGGATTTTCCACTTTTCTTGAGAAATGTAAACACACTGACGGTGCTGGATATTTCTAACAATAAGATTCGTGGTCAATTCCCTAACTGGTTTAGCGGCAAGAGGTGGGAGTCCTTGTTGCACCTAAACCTTTCGCATAATTCATTAACAGGCCACCTACCACAATTTCATAATTACCATAGTCTAGAGTATCTTGATGTTAAATTTAACTCCCTTAAGGGTCTACTACCTTCGTCTATTTGTAACATGAACAAGCTTGAATTTCTAGATTTATCACATAACAACTTCAGTAACTCGATTCCAAGTTGCTTGCGAAGCATGGCTAGTCTAACGGTACTGGACTTAAGAAGGAACAATTTCACAGGGAGTATTCCACCATTATGTGCGCACAACACTTCATTGAGAACCATTGTCCTGAATGGTAATCGTTTTGAAGGAACTGTCCCGATGTCGTTGCTCAAGTGTGATGGTCTAGAAGTTCTTGATGTGGGGAACAATGTTATAAATGACACGTTTCCAGCTTGGCTAGGAACACTTGAACAACTGCAGGTCCTAATATTAAAGTCCAATGTGTTCCATGGACCAATAAGTACTTGTCAGACTAAGTTTTGCTTTCCCAAGTTGCGAATTTTTGATCTTTCTAGTAATGAATTCAGTGGCTCACTTCCTGCAAAAGTTTTTGGACACTTCAAGGCAATGATCAAATTAGATGGTGAAGACACAGGAGAGATCAAGTACATGAAACAATTTACGAAGTCATCTTACAAATCATATGAGGATTCAGTGAGTTTGGTGATCAAAGGACAGAATATTGAGCTACAAAGAATCAGCACAATTATGACAACCATAGATCTCTCAAGCAACCATTTTGAAGGTGTCATTCCGAAAACACTAAAGGATCTCAGCTCACTTTGGCTACTCAATTTATCACATAACAATCTCAGAGGTGATATTCCAATGGAACTAGGAGGATTGAATATGCTTGAAGCGTTAGATCTCTCTTGGAATCAACTCACTGGAATGATTCCGCAACAATTGACAAGGCTAACCTTTCTGGCATTCTTAAACCTCTCTCAAAATCACCTAGTTGGACGCATTCCTCAAGGTTCACAGTTCAACACATTTGAAAACCGCTCGTATGAGGGCAACATTGATTTATGTGGTCCTCCTTTATCAAGGCAATGTGGAACGGGTGATCCATCGCATATTCCTCAACCATTAGGGTCTGAAGAAGATGAAGACGAGTCATATTTTTTAGTGGATTTACGTGGGAATCCGTAGTCATAGGCTACAGTTTTGGACTCGTTGTTGGAACTGTCATGTGGAGCCTCATGTTTAAATATCGTAAGCCAAAATGGTTTGTCGAATTTTTTGAAGGCATTTTCCCCAAGAAAATGAGAAGGTCACAGAAGAGAAGGACGAGACGGCGGATTTGATTGAAGATTGAAAGAGCCAGTAATCTTTGTATAATAAGTAATGTTCTGTTAATGAGAGAACAAAGTATCATATTAGTAGTTGAAAAGACAAATAAATTACCAAGTGTCATCAGAATTTTAGTAATTTTATATCCTCTGAAATCATCTAAAAAGTACCGAATCGTGTCTCAATGTTTGATCATGATTTCTTAAAAAGAACTATTTGATGTCAGATTATTATTACATATTGGAATAGAATAAGATCAAGTTGTCACATGCCTGTATTTAATAACATCAACTTGTCATTAATCAAGTCAATATAATAGGGGACAAGTATTAACTTTGGCCCCATTAAGTTTTTTCTACTACAACTAGGCAGAAAAATTGATGTGAAAAGGTCTTGTGGAAAATTATAGAATGTACCTAACAAGTTTGAAAACTATTGTGGAAAAACAGAAGAAGAGATGTTGATGGAGAGTTGTACAAAGTTGACTTAAAACAGGAGTTCAAATATCTATAAAAATATGTATGGATTTTTTGTAAGAACATAACATTCTGTTCTATGTTGAAAACAAATATAAAAATGTGGCCTCTCCTTTTCATTTATTCACTTTTCTGTTGTGTATTTCTAAGAGTAAGTTTTTCTTCATCCTTCGATCGTCATCTTTGCTCTCCCAATGAAGCTTCTGCTTTGTTTCAGTTTAAGCAATCCTTTAATTTATTGGACTTCTCCCCGTGTGATACGTCATTCCCGAAAACAGTTTCATGGAATGAGAGTAACGATTGCTGCACTTGGGACGGGGTCACTTGTGACATGTTAACCGGTCACGTTATCGGATTGGACCTTAGTTGTAGTCGGCTTAATGGAACTATTTATCCCAACAGCAGCCTCATCCAACTTCATCATCTCCGGACACTAAACCTTGCTAAGAACTACTTCTATCCTTCTACGATCCCAAATGACGTTAGCCGGTTGAGGAATTTGAGGCATCTCAATCTTTCTGATGCTTACTTTCAAGGGGAAATCCCAACAGAAATCTCATACCTTTCCAATCTGGTTTCACTTGATCTTTCTGTACCTTCTTATGTGAATGGATTACAATTTGATCAGAGAGCATTTAAAGCAGTGCTACAGAACTTGACAAATTTGGAGGTACTTTCTCTCTTTGGTGTCGACGTCTCATCTCCCATACCTATGAATCTTTCTTCCTCCTTAAGGTATCTCGATCTTAAGGTAACTAATTTGGAAGGTGTTCTCGCGGAGAGCTTTTTCCTTCTGCCAAAATTGGAAACACTCTATTTGAGTAATAACTATCTTCTCAAAGGAGTTTTACCGAAGATCCACCCGAGCAGCACTCTGTTGGAGTTGGATATTTCATACACAGGAATCTCCGGTGAGCTGCCTGATTCAATCGGTACCTTAAGTTCCTTGACTCGCTTGTACCTCTTTGGATGCCAATTCTCTGGTCGCATTCCTGATTCCATTGGCAATCTTACACAAATTAGGTATTTGAATTTCGGTAATAATCATTTCACTGGCAGTATTCCTTCCACAATCTCTAAATTGAAGCACCTCGCAGTTTTAACTCTTTCATCTAACTCCTTTGGAGGTGAAATTCCCAGTTTTTTCTCTAACCTCCGAGAACTACGATATTTAAGTCTTTCTAATTGCAGCTTCATCGGTCCGTTTCCTTCTCCAATTTTAAGCTTGACACAGCTTGAAACCTTAGACTTGTCGAGTAATTCCCTATCTGGACCACTTCCTAGAAATGGAAGCATGCTTCAAAAGCTAGCCGAGCTGGATTTGTCTTACAACTCACTGAATGGTACCATACCGTCTTGGATGTTTAGCCTACCTTTGCTATCTTCAGTGTCGCTCCATCATAACCGGTTAAGTGGTTCTTTTCCTCAATCACCTGTGAATCTCACAAACCTTAATACCCTTGACCTTTCATCAAATAACATCACCCTCGATGCGGGAATACAAATCACTTTACCTAGCTTACAAGTTTTGCTGTTATCATCTTGTGAACTGAAGGATTTTCCACACTTCTTGAGAAACGTAGAGACAATTATGGTCTTGGATATTTCTAACAATAAGATTCGTGGTCAAATCCCTAACTGGTTTAGCGGTATGAGGTGGGACTCCTTGTTGCACCTAAACCTTTCACATAACTCATTAACAGGTCACCTACAACAATTTCATTATTATAGTCTAGAGTCTCTTGATCTTAAATTTAACTCCCTTCAGGGGCCACTACCTTCATTCATTTGTAACATGAGCAGCCTTAGCCTTTTGGATTTGTCAAACAACTACTTCAGTGACTCGGTTCCACATTGCTTGGGCAGCATGGTTGGTCTATCTGTGCTAGACTTGAGAAGAAACAATTTCACTGGGAGTCTTCCATCATTTTGTGAGCAGAGCAATTCATTGAGAACCATTGTGTTGAATGGTAATCGTTTTGAAGGAACTGTCCCGATGTCGTTGCTCAAGTGTGATGGTCTAGAAGTTCTTGATGTGGGGAACAATGTTATAAATGACACGTTTCCAGCTTGGCTCGGAACTCTTCAAGAGCTGCAGGTCCTTATATTGAAGTCGAACAAGTTCCATGGACCTATAAGTACTAGGCTGAATTTTAGTTTCCCTGTGTTACGGATTTTTGATCTCTCTCATAATGAGTTTGGTGGCTCACTGCCTGCAGAAGTTTTTGAGAACTTCAAAGGAATGATCAAAACAGATGACGGAGACAAAGGTGAGATAGAATATATGCAACCACAGTCTTACAACGGATTTGGTAACGTAATGTATGAGGTTTCAGTGAGGTTGGTGATCAAAAGCCAGGAAATTCAGCTAGAAAAGATCACCACGATTATGACAACTATAGATCTCTCAAGCAACCATTTTGAAGGTGTGATTCCGAAAACACTAAAGGATCTCAGCTCACTTTGGCTCCTCAATTTATCTCATAACAATCTCAAAGGAGATATTCCAGTGGAACTGGTGAAATTGAATACGCTTGAAGCGTTAGATCTCTCCTGGAATCGGCTCACTGGAAAGATTCCACAGGAATTGACAGCAATGAACTTTCTGTCATTCTTAAACCTCTCTCGAAATCTCCTTGTTGGACGCATTCCTCAAGGTTCACAATTCAACACATTTGAAAATGATTCATATGGTGGCAACCTTGATTTATGTGGTCCTCCTTTATCAAAGAAATGTGGAACGAGTGATCCATCGCATGTTCCTCAACCATTGGAGGAAGAAGAAGAAGAAGATGACGAGTCGTATTTCTTTAGTGGATTTACGTGGGAATCAGTAGTCATAGGCTACAGTTTTGGACTTGTTGTTGGAACTGTCATGTGGAGTCTCATGTTTAAATATCGTAAGCCAATATGGTTTGTGGAAATTTTTGACGCACTGATGCCTCACAAAAGAAGAAGGCCAAAGAGGAGAGCTCTGAGACGACGGACTTAATGGAAAATTGAAAGCATTTCCTTTTATTGTTTGTATATGCTTAATATATCATATCATATCATATATTATTATAAGCATGAAGCTCAAAACTTAAAAGTTGAATTACCATTTTATCCCTCTAATAAATTAATTTTTTTATAATTTTCATATATATAATCTTCTTATTCTCATTCCATAATCTTGACCTTTCAAATTTCTAACATAAATGTAAAAAAAATAAAAATTAGTAATTATTCCTTATAGAGAAGAAATTAAAGTAGATTCATGTATCTTTAAAATTAAATTTTATCTCTATCTTTTTTATATTTATTTTAACAATAATTCATTTGACTTTTCATATTTTCATAATTTTGTTCTATAAATTTAACTTTTTGAAGAAATTTTTTTATTTACCACTCCTATAATTCTTGTGTGTATGAACTCTAAACATGTGAAATAATGTCACAATTTGAGGTGAAAGTTGTGAGATTCCCTTCTGTAGTCACGAAAATAGACAAGAATTCAAATTACTGAAGCATCGGAGCTTGGTGTGTTAGTTCTACACTTATTTGTAGTAAGAATTATAATAAGACTTTTTTATCTCTATTCATATAGTTGAATTCTTGATTTATTAGCAAGTTGCTCTAAATTTATATTTGTATTTTGTATGCTCAAATATTCAGTTTTACTATAGAGACAAAAATAAAATGAAATGTCTAATTATCTTTCTCATTTGTACCTTTTCTTTTTTTCTTTTTGCTTCGTACTTATAATTTTACATATACATTAATTTTCATCTTTAAGAATGAATTTGATAAAATAGGATGTTTATTCTTTTCTTTTCTTTTTATGGAAAAAAAAGGTGAAACATATAATATTAGAATAATGTTGGATAAGTTATGTATGAAGAGAAAATTAAATTTTATATAAAAATATTAGTTATTCATAAATATTCTGATTTTCAAAATATAAATAATAAGACTTTTTACATCATACTTTTAAATATTTATAGTTAACTAATTAGTTTAAAGTGTTTTGTGGATTAAAATTTAATACAATACTTTAAACACATTCATTATAATTATCAGGAGATTCAAAAGGCAAAATAAAAAAGTTGAAAGGATTTGTTTTCTTTTTACTCAAAGTTAATCTTACACTATTTCTTCTAACATTATTCTACCAATAAAATGGAACTATCGAGAAGGTCAGAAAATTGGAGTGTCACAATTAGTAGTAAAATAAAGTAAGAAATCTGGAGTGTCACAATTAGTAGTAAAATAAAGTATGAAATCTCAATTAGACATATTTTATTATTTAGTAATATTATCTTTTAAGAAATAATACACTCATGGGTTGCACGCGCAAAGCGCGTGCTCGGAAACTAGTATTATTATAAGTGGGAAGCTCTTAATCTCAAAGTTGAATTATAATTTTACCCTTCACTTAAATATTTTTTCTATTTTTTAAAATGTAAAAAGTATTTTTAATAAATAATTAGATAATAAACTTTAAAGTAATAAAGATATAATGAAAGATAAATAGTCATTCAAACAAATGAAGTCCAAACATTTCAAAACATCTCTTATTTAATTTGAAGTTAAAGAATTTGAAGAGTTCCATTGATAAAATTATATACATGATTTGTTCAACAAAATACATTATTTTGATGTCTTCTCGTGACAATAGCATGTGAGTTGATTTACCTCACAAAATTCTTCTTCAAAATTTTCATGTTTCTTTTGATCAATAAATTTTAGACATATATGTATATAGATAAAATTAATATTACATGTTTTATTTCATTCTTTTCATAGAAAATTTATGTTTTTATCGCAACATGTGATAAATAATTCTAAAGAGTTTTTCATTTGGACAAAAGTCTGCTCAACATTCATGAGGTAAAACAAATCTACTTGTGTGAGAAAGAATATGTATGTTGTTTCGTTAATTTATTGACGGTAAATTCTTGGAGAATATAGATATTTGAATTAGAATTTAATCATTTCAGTGCATTCGATGCATTCTTCAAGAAGGTTAAAGGCGTCATGGACATTTATTTGTTGTTTGGTAAGTATTATTTTTCATTTCAATGTTGCATAATTCTACTTAGTTCATTGTTTGTTACATTCAATTTTTCGGTTGAAAGAATGTA